GTAACGATAGGGATATATGTGAGTCATTTTATAATGATAGAAATGTATGTAAGTCACTTTTAAAACAAAAAGTATATCAACTTCAAATGATAAAATTAAGAAATATGTCATCCTTTCCCAAATTATGATAAAATTGAATAAGTACATATATGTGTCCTACATTACAAATCTCACGTAATTTATGAGATAGAATACGTGCATCTCATATAATTTATCATGTAGGATGCACGTATCTATTTGTTTTTTAACTTTATACTTCTTTTGTCCGCTTTTAATTGTAATGTTGTGCTTTTCAAAAATTAATTTGACTAATTTTCAAAGTTAAATTAAATTACATTAATTCGATATTTTAAACAAAAAATTAGATATTTAAAAACTATACGAAAAATACTATAAATTGTAATTTTTTACATTTCAATATAATAATAAAATACATGATAAAATGTTACTCAAATTTTTTATAATTTGACTCTAAAAAAACCATGGCGGTTAAAAGTGGACCAGGGAGTAGTAATTTAAGCAACTATTTGTACCCACTCAAACTACACAACTGAGGTCAAAGTTTAAATACATCTGATCTTCCCTACTGTTTAAATTGGATCAGTTCCGACCTCTAAGCTTTGATTTCTGCACAGGGAAGACTTTGGAGGAAAAGAAAATGGCGAACAGAAACAAATTATCTCCTTTCCTTGTTGTCTGGGTTCTGGTTTTATTCGGAACCCTAATTTTCATTCTGGTATTTTTCACCACTCTTCTCTTTCTGACTTGTTCTCTTCTACTACTAACATTACTTGTGTTGTTAATTGGATATTGTCAGAATCGATTAGGTAATACAGGAGTCTCCTCAGATGGTAAAGACATTACAATCGAGCGGAATGACGAGGTTCAATTTTGTGTTTACATGTTACAGATTAGTATTTTGTTGACTCCAAACCATAGGATTTCGAATTATTGATTGCTTAATTTTTACTTCACAATATGAAAACACATTTCGTCATTATAATTGTTGTAGGCAAAAACATCAGAGGATTTGGAGCGGGTGACACATAAAGTATACTTTGATGTCGAATTAATGGAAAACCTACTGGTATTTTTCCTTCTTCATTTATCCTTCCACAACCATATATAGAAACAAAAAAAATGGCTTTATAGTTTGATCAAGTTTTATCGTTTGCCGAGAATGATATAGAATTGTAGATGACTTTGTTTTGTTCTTCAAAAGAAAAAAATTCAGAATGGGTAAATGCTAGATCTTACTTCTGTTTATGTTCCTGTTGTAATGAATTTTTGCATTGTTCTACACAAAATTTATCATGGATTGATTTGATAATTGAACTGTGGAAGCTAAGCTTTACCCCTGGCATGAACTTTTCTAATTATACTGGTGGCTTTTACTTTTGGACTTCTCTCTTTTTTCATGTCTGACCAGAAAGAAAAAGGAAAACGAAAGTTTGAGAAATGAACGAGGGAGCTTTTATGTTTAAATGGTTAGGGCCAATGTTTTAAGATTTCTTATTAGAACGGGGTAAAAAATGCATCACAATTTCACTCACCACGTACATGATATTAGAAGATGGAATTATGTTGAAGTGGTATCCTCTTCAAGATGGGAGGTCAGTTAGCCTTCATGTCCATGGATGTTAGGTTGGTTGCATTAATAAAGGTACTGTTGCACAAAATTATGACTACAAAAGTCTCATAAGAAAAAAAATCGGTGCACAAAATAATAGTGTTTGGTGGGCTGCATAAATAATCTCGCTCGACTTATACAAAGTTTGGTTGGCAGTATTAAACTTATTACATGCATAACTTATGAGGGAATCTATGTATTATTTTATGGATGATATAACATGGAATAAGAATATACGTATTAGCAATACATAAAGTATCTAAATACAAAAATATCTTAAAGTAGGTAACTTGCATAACATTTTATATTTTAGTAATCATGCATAACAATTCAAAAAATGGCTATCCAGTGTAATCCCTCAAGTGGGGTTTAGGGAGGGTGGTATGTACACAGCCTTACCCCTACCTTGTGAAGGTAGAGAGATTGTTTCCGATAGACTCTCAGCTTCAGTAATGCATTTCAAAAGTCAAGTATGTAAAGGACATACAGTTGTGATAAGAGAAATTCATACTAACAATTCCCGTTATATTATTTTTTGAATGACCGATTCATGCTTAGTAATTCCTTCATAGCTACATGAATCAAACAACCTTACATTGTTTTAAGATAACAGATATGTACAATCTACCCTTGTACCTAGAGAAATAATGTATCATGATTTCAAGTGGAATGTTATCTAGTTGTCACATTACTCACTTGCAATCTGTGTTGCCTTTCAAATTTTATTTCATGACTAAGAAAAACGTAATAAGGAAATTTATATGTACAATATGTTGAAGAAATCCAATTAGATGTTGACTTTAGAGAAAAAATATTAGCATGCGTGGTGAATTATGGATGGAGTAGAATCATTGTGATGCATTGGATCAATCTCTTTTGGTCAAATTAGCTTGCAAGCTTATGGGGGTGGACGTTGTCACTAAAGATGTGTTTGGTATGAAATAACACATTTTCGAGTTAGAATATTTCTTTTTAAAAAAAGGTTTTCCTCGAAAATAAGTAATTCTTACTTAATTTCTTGTGTTTAGCAAATAACTAATCTAGGAAAACACTATAAGGGTTGGGGTAGGTGGGGGTGGGGGTGGGGAGGAGACAATCAAATGTCACTTATAAAACTTGTTCTCCATACTTTCACCAGAGAAGTCATTTTCCTTATCTTTAAGGATCTTGTTTTTCTTGTGAAAATATTTTTGAAAAATTGTGACCCTGGCCAGTTCAAGGTCCACACATGTATTTGGCTTAGATTTTTTGTTCTTACCAAGTTGTTCATAAAACATATAATTCCAGATAAATCTAATGTAGTTAGAGCAGGATTGTTAAAGATTGCCAGATCTATTTCAGTTGTAGTCATAGGTGGAAGAGTTTCTTGTGATTTGTTTTGGTTTTCTTCTGAACTTAATCTTGAACACGTCGATTGCTTTCCTTTCAGGTCGTATTGTCATGGGCCTCTTTGGGAAAACTGTCCCAAAGACAGCGGGTACTCCATCTTGTGCTGAATTATGTTGGCTCTTTTTGGCATTGTACATTATCTTGTAAACTGCATTGATGAGCTTGCTGTATATTTAATTTTTTCTGCAAAAAACTTCAGAGCTCTTTGCACAGGTAACCAATAAACTTTTGTTCCCTTGAGTTCCATTTTTTTCAAGAGATTCAGATCCACTACAGTACTCTTTATCTGAACATCATGTTAATGAGGATACCGTTATGGAAATTCTTATAACTTTGTGCTCTTGGATAACATGACTTACTTTACAAGTGAACCGGCAATGAAATAAAAAGGATACCAAAGCTAGTTGTAGTTTATTGACAAAAGAAAAAAAAAACAGAAGAATTCTTTCATTACACTTGAGATAGAAAGAGAAATCCTATACTGTAAAGGATTAAACTCATGTCCATGCTGTAAGGTATATTGGAGCCAAAAGCAGATACTTCTAATTGGCACAGGTCATTGCTGATGCAAGGGCCAATTTGCTCTTTCTTCCTTGACTGGTTTATTTCAAGACACACATCTACATTTGCATGAGGGTTTTTTTGTTATCTATTTGTTTCTATGAAGTCCCTTTTAGCATTCATCTTCTCCTAAATTTCTGTTCTAGACTTGAACCATTTCAGAGTTCAGATACTGCTTGTTAGCTATTTAGGGGAGGGGAAGGGGTGTCTCGTGGCTAGAATGACATCAGACAACGAGGGTTGTATAGATGGAAAATTAATGCAAAGATAATGAAACCTCACCACCTTTCTACTGCATTAACATCTGTTATGCACACGAATACTGAAGTTACCAATTTGGCAAACATTTATCACTCAACTTGTAGGGGAAAAAGGAACAGGGAAAGCTGGCAAGCCTCTCCATTACAAAGGTAGCAGTTTCCACAGGATCATACCAAGCTTCATGATCCTGGGAGGCGACTTCACCCGTGGTGATGGGCGAGGTGGAGAGTCAATATATGGTGAAAGCTTTCCAGATGAAAACTTTGATCTAAAACACACTGAACCTGGTGAGATCTGACTATTCATTAATAATTGGTTGTTGCCATCTTTTGTATCTTTTGTGTTTTATTTGATCTTGCACTTCCCTTAATTGGAAGTGTTTTTGGCCAGAATATTTTCTATCCACTGAAAGACAGTTGTTTTGGAAAAAGGTATTTTGTCAATGGCGAATGCTGGACCAGACACCAACGGATCTCAATTCTTTATCACAACTGTAGCCACTAGCTGGTACTCAACTAAGTCCTTGATTTTGTGCAACTTATCGTCAACTGAACTTTCAATTTTGGGCTACTTGTCAAAATGTTTACTTCCGTCCCATGGTTAGGTTGGACAAGCATCATGTTGTTTTTGGGAAGGTGCTGTCTGGGATGGATGTTGTCCACAAAATGGAAGCTGAAGGCAGACAAAGTGGAACCCCGAAAAGCAAAGTTAGAATATCAAATAGTGGTGAACTACCTCAGTGATTCAATTTTCCATGTACCAGAATACCTCAAATGCTTGAAAGTGCTTAACCTCGCTCTAAATCCAGTTTCATACACTGTCAAGAAATGTGCTATGGGACTTCCGCCGCTTGTAAAGTTAAAACAACCCTCTTGAAATAGGATCACAACTGCTGCTCTGAATAGACAAGGCTCATTTTATGAAAATTGTTATAAAACTTTTGCTTTTATATTTATTTTCGTAAAGAATTTTGAATAAATTCTTTGTTGTATGTAACATAAAAAGATATGTTGTTGAAATTTCCATTTTGTTCTCATTGCCAGAAAATGTTTTGTTACATACTAAAGTTTAGCAATATTTTCATGACTATGCAAACAGTGAAGACAAGTAGCAGATCATCGCATTCTTGAAGACTAAGTAATAAATGCTCAAACCTTAATACAAACATGCTTATGAAATACACACGCATAAATTCGACTATACTTTCATTTCGATAAGAGTATGAGCAACATCAACTGTTAAAAACTATTAATGGTACGTAGATCGGAGAAGATAAAATAAAATTAAGAGAAGCATCAGTGGTGTCTCCGGCTTTTGGTTTCGTCTCTAATGGCGTCGTTTTCTTGACCAAACATGGTTGAAAAATTGGTGGAAATATCAGAATAGAGAGAAACAACTTTAGAAATGTTGCCATTAAGCTCCTGAATGAGGTTCACGTTCTGCACCATATTGTCGTTGGTTCTGGACTGATGGTTTTCGTTGACTTGCTGTATCAGCGATCTGTTCCGATCCAACACCGATTGCACCTGCCGGAATCTGTTGGAGAAGTTGTTCCACATCTCGGAGTTGCCTTCCTCTATACTAAGGTCTCCGTTGTCATGAGGGCGTCGGCGGTCGTTAGTGGTGAGGGATTGAGGTTTGGCTAGGGTTTGACGATGGAGCTTAAAGGTGTCTTCCATGTTGCTGATGTCGAAGAAACGTTTATTTCTGACATGAGAGAAACACACACTCTCTCTAGTCTCTGGGGAGGTGAGGTGCATACATATCTTGTGCAGATTAGATATTTTCTTCATTTGGTTGTGGTTGTTGCAGCTCACAGAGATGACTAACCATGATTTGGCTTGGCTGTGCTCATTCACGCGACATCCTTAATTTGGCCTAAAGGAGAGAAATTAGAAAGAAGGTGAAGGATTGCTGGCCACGCGCAGAGGAAGAGAATTCGGGTAAATTTTGGCCAAAAATATCTTATTACAAAGGCTTATTGGACGGTATTAAATAATGAAAAAGTGCAAAAAGTCACCATTTCAAATCTTCCCAATGTTTTCCACTATAACTTCAATATTATATTCCTCCCGTATTAATAAATCATCTTATTAAAAACAATTATTTCTATCTGTTTATTTTTATTTATCACTTATATTTAAAATATGTTTTTATTTTTACTTGTTACTTTTGAAATATCAAGAAAATATAATTTTATTTTTTATGTTTTACCCTCAGCATTAAATACTTATTTTTCAAATCATTTTACAAAACATGATTTAATAGGGGATAGTTTGATAAAATATCGATATCATCAATTATTTTCTTAATGGGTGTGTCCAGTCAAACCGTGATAAGTAAAAGTGAACGAAGGGAATATCTTATATTACTTGTCCAGCTTACTAAATCAAAAAAATATTAATTATTTTTTCTATATTATCTTTGCAATTAATTTTTTTGAAAGTGTTCACATTTGGTTCTTAAAGAAATATATTAGTAAAATTATCTTCTTATTTATGATTTCTTACATATAAAAAAATGATCAATTAATATGAGACTGATAAAATATTTATCTTTCATTTAATTTTGCATGAAATTTAACAAAGCAAAAGAGCAAAACTTTTAATTTTGTGATGTATAAAAATATTTTTTAATTAATTTGATTAAATATATTACATGAAAAATTAAAATTTTAAGACTAACAAAAAATATTATTTATATATAACAAAACAAATTGAAATAGAGAGAAGTGAGCAAGCAAGTAGAAATATCTATCAGAGAGATGTGAGAACAAAAACTTGCCAGCAACTAATTTGACAGCTACACTTGTTGAAATTAATAGCCACAAATGTGAAAGTTACAGCCATATTCGTGGAAGTTGATAATCAAAGTTTGGTAGAGTTTTGGTAGAGTTTTGGTAGAGTTTGACAGCCAAGCTTTGTAGAAATTGACTGCCACATTTATGTCACTAATGATGCAATCAAGAGGTTAAAAACTCTATAAATAGAGTAGTAATTGAATACTTGAAGACACACTAAAATAAAGAAGCAACAGAGAGTAGAGAGAGTAATCCACAAGCTATTTCTTAGTTTGTGAGAAATAGTGTGGAAGTAATATTATTGTGAGTTTTAAGAAATAGAAGAGTGTCGAGTAGTAGTTTTTTGACACTACTAAGTTTTCATCAATATTATTGTATTACTTATTCGGGTATGATATTTACCCAATTTTAATATTTGGTGTCGTTACTCTCTTCCTATTGCTATTTAGTTTGGACATTATCCTGTGTGTGATTATCATTTTTTCCAACAACGTGATATCAGAGTCATGACAAATAATAGTCCGTTGTCCTTTCAGTACCTGCGTCTCATACGAGAAAATCATGACAAATGGTGTCTACGAATGAAAGTCATTCTTGACTCTCAAGATGTTTGGGACATTGTGGACAAAAGGTATACAAAATCCGTTAATGAGAAAACTTTGTCTCCAAATAAAAAGGAAGTCTTGTTAAAGACAAGAAAGAAAGATCAACAAGCCCTCACTCTCATCCATCAATGTTTGGATGATAGCATGTTTGAGAAGGTGGCTGATGCAACCACCTTAAAAGAAGCTTGTGAGATTTTACAAAATTCTCTCCAAGGAATTGATAAAGTAAAGAAGATAAAACTTCAAACTCTAAGGGCTGATTTTGAAGTTTTAAAAATGAAAGAATCTAAATCCATTTTGAATTTCTGGTTCAAGATTGATGGGTGTTGTGAATCAACTGAGAAGATACGTGGAGGAAGTAGATGATGTGTGTGGTAGAAAATATCCTTCGTTCTTTAACACCTAAATTTGATTATGTGGTAAGTGCTATTGAGGAGTTTAAGATTTAGACTCTATTATGATAGAGCAATTGGAAGGTTCTATACAAGCCCCCGAAGAAAAAATGAAAAAGAGAAAAGAAGAGCCACTAGAGCAACTTCTTAAAACTCAGGCATCCTTCAAAGGATTTGAAGGTGAGAAAAGTTACGAAGGAAATGGACAATGACGAGGCCGTGGAGGCCGTGGAAGAGGAAGAAGTTATATCAACAAATTCAATTATGAAGATAAAAGTCACCAGTCATTTAGAGGTCGTGACCGTGGTCAACGAGTAGGTAGAGGATGTGGAGCCTATCAAAGTACCAAATGAAGTATAACAAATCTAAAATTGTGTGTTATAACTGTCATAAAATTGGACATTACTCTTGGAAATGTCATAATAATGTGGAAGAGAAAGTTGATCTTGTTGACAACAACAAGACGAAGATGAGTCAACATTGTTATAAGCATTCATAGAAAAAGATACATATGATTGCAGACCAGTTCATTGTATTTTAACAATGGCAAGCAATCATATGTGTGGCCACAAAGACAAGTTTGTGGAGATAAAGAAGACGATGAAAGGTAATATGTCTTTTGGAGATACCTCAAAAATCCAAATTGAAGGGATATGTACGATTCTGATATCCTGTAAAGATGGTGGCCAAAAATTGATTGACAATGTTTATTATGTGGAAAAATTGAAAAGTAATATTTTGAGTTTGGGTCAACTTCTTGAAAAAGGATATGATATTCATATGAAAAATATGCATCTTTTGCTTAGAGATTCAAGTTGATACGCTCAAATTACATCTCCCTAGAGAAACATAAGCGATCGTTATCAAGTAAAGAACCCAACTTGTAGGTTGGGGTTGATCCCACGAGGAAAATGGTTTAGATCTTACTTTAACCAACAATTATATTTAATTAGTCAAATTACTTCCAGAAACAAGTAATTAAATGGGGGGTGTTGTGAAACAAATTGTAAGAATTCAATAAGTAATCAACAAACAAAAGTCAATTTTTGTTGTTATCAAGATGAGAGAATTAACTAGGGTATACGTGTTTCCCACAAGCTCATAACGCAGTAATCCTAGTAATAACAATCATTTCCTAGTATATCACATGCAAAGTGGTAAGTTATGTATCTCTAAATCCTTGGTCCGACATCTAGAAAATTTCACCCCGCACCTTGGTCCGGCTACGTGTGTATAATTTACTAACCCTTACCTATACCTCATATTAGACATCATAATCGATGTTTGGCTTAGTTCTTACTTCGCACCAATCGACACTAAACTATTAAATAGTATCACACTAAATCTATGTTGATAATTCTTTTCTTGTTAATTACCTCCTTGGTCCGGCAAGTAGTAACAAGACGACTTCTAACATTGGCCACCGTTAAAAAGACTTCTAAACGAAAGAATTATCAATGCATGCAAAATACTAGTCACGAATTGCTTATTTACTATTCATACTTTGTTAATCGCTCATGGTTCCCACAACCCTAGTTGTGGATTTAGTTACCCATATTAGCACGAACACAATTCATAGGTTTAGACGAAGAAATCATGAACTTACGTAAGGAGAATGATAAACCCAGAAATTCAACTTGAATTGCACAACCAAAATCTTCAAAACGAACTTAGGAAATCAATAATTGTTAGGTTTGCAAATTAATCTCCCAAGTCACAAAGTAAAACTAGAATAATAATGTCTAACCCCCAAAAACGAGGTTTACATACCCTATTTATAGAAAACAAGACCTAAGTTAAAAGGGAAACAAATTAAGGAAAGTTTCTTCAGGCACGCGTCTTCATTCCACGAGATTGACTCACGGACCGTCAATGGATCTACGGTCCGTGAGTCCCTTCCGTCAGCCAGGACTTGGAAAATATTTCAGCTTCCAAAAATCAGCTTCTCTGAAGCAAACGACGGAACTGCAGTACGGACCGTAAATCGATCTACGGTCCGTCAATCCCCCTCCGTAACTCCACACTTGGAATCTTCAAAAATCAGGTACTGGAACCCTCACAGTATCAATCTACGGATCAACAGTACGGTTCGTGGATCAATCTACGGACCGTCAATGGCCACCGTGGTTCCACACTTGGTCAGATTTCCCTGATTTGCCTTCCATGCCTTGCCTGCTGATCTACGACCATCACCTACAGACCGTCAAAGGACCTACGGTCCGTGGATCACTTCCGTGAAAGCACTTTTTATGCATTTCTTTCAACTGACTCTTTACTTCCGCGCCTGAACATCTTTCCTGCAAAATATGATAAAAATACATAAAAACCAATACAAAAAAGACCTAGACACACACAACTTATAAGTGCAATGTATTAGAAATACCGTAAACTCACGGTATATCACAAGTAACAACTTAATTGCTAAAGTGCATATGGCAAAGCATAGTTCGTTCCCTTTGAATCTTAAAATCATCGATGCAAAGTGTTTGAAGGCTAATGTGCAAGATGACTCATGGTGTTGACATATGCGATTTGAGCACTTGAACTTTGAAACACTCAAATCAATGGGAGACAAGAACATGGTTGATGGGATTTCGTCAATCAACCATCCAAATCAGTTGTGTGAAGCTTGTCTTCTTGGAAAATATGCAAGGAGGAGTTTTCCAAAGGAGACTACATCAAGAACAAGTAAGCCACTTCAACTTGTACACATCGATGTGTGTGGTCCAATCGATCCACCTTCTTTTGGTAAAAGTAAATACTTCTTGCTCTTTATTCAAGCAAAAATCTGAAGTTTTTGTTGCTTTTAAAAAATTCAAAGCACTTGTAGAAAAGAAAGTGACTGCGAAATAAAAACATTAAGGTCCGATAGAGGAGGCAAATTCACTTCAAAAGAATTTAATGACTTTTGTCAATCTCATGAAATTTGTCGCCCTCTAACGATACCTTACTCTCCCCAACAAAATGAAGTTGCAGCAAGAAAGAATAGAACAATTTAGGGGGGTGGGGGGTCTTGTGACTAGAATGACGTCAGACAAGGAGGGTCGTATAGATGGAAAAATAATGCATAAAGATGATGAAGCCTCAGCATCTTTCTACTGCATTAACATCCATTGTGACCACTAACACTGAAGTTATCACTCAACTTGTAGGGGAAAAAGGAATAGGGAAAGCCGGGAAGCCTCTCCAAGACAAAGGTAGCAGTTTCCACAGGATCATACCAAGCTTCATGATCCAGGGAGGTGACTTCACCAGTGGTGATGGGCGAGGCGGAGTCAATAAATGGTGAAAGCTTTCAAGATGAAATTATGATCTAAAACACACTGGACCTGGTGAGATTTGACTATTTAATAGTAATTGGTTGTTGCCATCTTTTGTGTTTTATTCAATCTTGTACTTCCCTTAATAGGAAGTGTTTTTGGCCAGAATGTTTTTTATCCACTGAAAGACTTGTTTTGGGAAAAGGTATTTTGTCAATGGCGAATGCTGGACCAGACACCAATGGATCTCAATTCTTTATCATAACTGTGACCACTAGCTGGTACTCAACTAAGTCCTTGATTTTGTGCAACTTATCTTCAACTGAACTTACAATTTTGGGCTACTTGTCAAAATGTTTACTTCCGTCCCATGGTTAGGTTGGACAAGCATCATGTTGTTTTCGGCAAGGTGCTGTTTGGGATGGATGTTGTCCACAAAATTGAAGCTGAAGGCAGACAAAGTGGAACCCCGAAAAGCAAAGTTAGAATATCAAATAGTAGTGAACTACCTCAGTGATTCAATTTTCCATGTACCATAATGCCTCAAATGCTTTAAAGTGTTGAACCTCGTGCAAAAGCCAGTTTCATGCACTGTCAAGAAATGTTCAATGTGACTTTCACTGCTTGTAAAGTTAAAACAACCCTCTTGAAACAAGATCACAACTGCTGCGTAGAATAGACACAAGGTTCAATTTTTTTATTAAAATTGTAATAAAACCTTTGCTTTTACATTTATTTTCGTAAAGGATTTTGAATGAATTCTCTGTTGTATGTACCATAGAAAGATATGTTGTTGAAATTTCCATTTTGTTCTCATCACCAGAAAATGTCTTTTGTTACATATGAAGGTTCTGCAATGTTATTATTGATTATGCCAAACAAGTATTAGTTGTGCAGTGTGGTTGAAGTTGCCACACCAATATATTTACATATTCAAGCAGTGTAGACAAATAGCTTCAGCAGATCATCACATTATTGAAGACTCGGTATAAATGGCCAAACCTTAATACAAACATGCTTATGAAATACACACGCTATGAGCCAACCAAAAGGTTAAAGATAAATTTGACCTCTGAAGATATTGAGGGAATTATTCAATTAAGAGAAGCATCAATGATGTCTCTGGTTGTTGGTTTCTTCTCCAATGGCGTCATTTTCTTGACCAAACATGGTTGAAAAATTGGTGGAAATATCAGAATAGAGAGAAACTACTTTAGAAATGTTGCCATTAAGCTCCTGAATCAGGCTCACGTTTTGCACCATATTGTCATTCGTTCTCGACTGATGATTTGCATTGACTTGTTGTGTCAAGGATCTGTTCCGATTCAACACCAATTGCACCTGTCGGAATCTGTTGGAGAAGTTGTTCCACATCTCGGAGTTGCCTTCCTCTGTACTGAGATCTCCGTTGTCATGAGGGCGCCGGCGGTCGTTAGTGGTGAGGGAATGAGGTTTGTCTAGGGTTTGACGATGGCGCTTAAAAGTGTCTTCCATGTTGCTGATGTCGATTCAATCATATAATCAAACGTTTATTTCTGACATGAGAGAAACACACACTCTCTCTAGTCTTTGGGGAGGTGAGGTCAGAGGTGCATACATAGCTTGTGCAGATTAGATATTTTTTTTCATTTGGTTGTGGTTGTTGCAGCTCACAGAGATGACTAACCATGATTTGGCTTGGCTGTGCTCATTCACGTGACATCCTTGATTTGGCCAAAAGGAGAGATATTAGAGAGAAGGGGAATCATTGCTGGCCACGCGCAGAGGAAGGGAGCTCGGGTAAGTTTTGGCCAAAAATATCTTATTACGAAGGCTTATTGGACGGTATTAAAATAATTAAAAAGTGCAAAAAGTCATAATTTGAAATGTTCCCAATGTTTTCCACTATAACTTCGATATACTCTTTCCGTATTAGTTAGAGCCTGTTTGATTCATTTAAGAAAATATTCTCTCGGTCCTTAATTATTTGTTTATTTTTCTTTTTTTATTGTGCTTAATTACTTATTCATTTTGACAAGTATAATTTTTTTATGTATTATACCTTCAATTAATTACATTGAAAAATGTATAACTTCTTGAAAATCTTAAGTTTTTCATTCCTCCACTTCATAATTAATAGAGGTATAATGGTAAACTCACTATGTCAGTCATTATTTTTTTAATAGGTGTGTCAATTCAAAAATATAAAAGTAATTAGAAACAAAAGAATTAACTTTTAAATTAAAAATAAAAATTCAAATTTAAATGACTTTTAAGTCAAAAATAAAAAATAGGGGGAGATCTACTTTTGATTTTTGACTTATTTTAAACTTATTTTATGTCATTTTTGACCTTGTCAAATACTTCCTAACTAATTTTAAGTTATTTTTGACTTATTTCAACTTATTTTTTTATATTTGTCAAACTCTTTCAAAAATAAAAACCGACTTAAAAGTATGTTTGACCAACTTTTAAGCCAATCCAAACACTCTCTTAACCATTTTACTAAAAATAATTATTTTATATTAGTTGTCCATCGTACTAAATAAAAAAAGTATTAATTCATCTCTTTCTATATTATCTTTGCAACTAATTTGTTTTCAAAGTGTTCACATTTATTTATAAAATTTTCAAAAAGTTCTTCAATAGATATATTTGTAAAATTATCTTCTTATTTATGATTTCTTAATATGCGTGTAAAAAATGATCAACTAATATGAAATATTTGTCTTTCATTTAATTTTATATGAAATTTAACAAAGTAAAAAAATATTTTTTTAAAAATTTTGTGATGTATTAAAATATTTTTTAATTTAATTTGATTAAATATTATATAAAAAATTAAAATTTTAAGACTAACAAAAAAATGATTTTTATACAAATAAAAAATATATAATAAACAAACTGATATAGAGAAAGTGAACAAGCAAGTAGAAATATCTATCAGAGAGGTACTTTTGTTCTTCCATTTTGACCATTGCTTTTCTTCTTTCTACGCATGTCAATTTTATTTTTAAGAGGGTGAATTTTGGTTAAAAATAAAGATTGTGAAGCTAAAATTAACAAGAATATTGTGGTGTTATTTTTACACCCAAACTTTATGAAGATGATAACAAATTCACCAAGACAAATGACAATGTTTTGAAATGCAAAATAACGCCTTTAGAGGCCAATGTTTAATATTTTCCATACTTGGGTAAGATTTGGAAATTTTACATGCATAAGTTTGTTGAGAGAATCTATATATTTAGTAGTTTGGGAGAATATCAAATATAATTTAGACCAAGCGTTATTCATGTGTTGACCAATTTGGATTTGATCAATCTTTGCCTATTGTGTTGAAATCCCATTGTAATGCATATATCCCTAATCATTCTCATCTTGGTGAAAACTCGTTTGTGTTGACTTCTTGCGATTGTTTCTTACAATTGAGTACTTTTAGTGTTTCACAACCCTCCCCCCCTTTTATATATATTTTCTTGAGAAAATATTGTGCTAGATAGAATTGGATTAAATAATCAATTAAAACATAATCATACTATATGTAAAGTTCGCATATTAGGTGAGGTAGAATCTATTTATCTTTTTATTTTATTTTATGTTGTTCATTGTTGGACAGATTTGAAAATAAACCACAACCTCTCACGTTCTAACTTTTGATATCAATAATCTCTATCGTTTTCTTTCACTTTATGTCATATTTGGAAATCTCAAAATGATAACATATTTTTAAACAAACATTCTCGACCCAACATCTCTATTATTTACAAGTTATCACTTGAATACTACCATTTAGGAATTAATAACCATAGCAAATCTACTCATATGACTATTAATCTAGATTGGGTTTCTCCACCAATGGGGTTTTAAGACTTAACATTGATGGTGCCTTCAATCCTGACACACAAACATATAGAATCGGAGGTGTCATTCGTGATAGTGCAGGAAATTGGATATTAGGTTTTAAAGCTTTGATTACCAATTATCGCAATTAAACTAAAATTCAAACGAAATCAAGAGTTAACAAGCAATCTAGGTGTGCGGGGATCGGAAATCAGTGTCACATAGGGGTGATTGTACAGATCTATAGTGATGAACAATCATGAATAAGCTAAGCATCTTTATTGACGCTAATCATCTTTCGATCTCAAAACATCTATGCATAAAATCTCCTTTCGGTCTCATCTACATGCCATTTCTAAACAACCAAATACCTTACTCTATTCTCTCTTTCAAGAATAGGGCAAATAAATCCGACCCATAACCTCTCTTTCAAGCCATAAACATCAAACCTAAATTGCTAGTATCGAACTAATTACCCACTCTAATTAATCTCTTTCGAGCATCAAACGGAGATCGAAAGTAGGAATTAAGTTTGCAACCTTAACCCATAAGTTAACCCTATAGTAATTAGACCAAATTCATGCATGAATAACAACAAAACAGAGCATAACACAATACCCATTACATTAAGTTAACACCCAACCCCAATTGAGCACCCCTAGATCTTGGGGTATAGCCATCCATCACAAAAAGTAAAGAAAGTATACCTTCCATTAAAGTAGCCATGGGTAACTTTAAATTCAAGCAATTAAGAGTAAACCCACTTGGGATTCAACTTCAATTTATCAAATTCAAGCTTCAAATTGTAAAACCCCAAGAACTAGAAAAATGTTCTTCTCAAAGGTAAAATGTTCTACTCACTATTCAACTCTCATCGTTCAGTATATGTACTCTCGATACTCCTCAAACTCTACCCTCAAAACTCTCTTAAAAATTGCAACCTTTGGGCTATTTATACTTTCCCAAAATTTGGCCCAAAATCAACTTCGTAACCAACTCTGCGACGTTAGTCGGGTTTGCCAAGCTTGATTGGTGACTCGCCATTTGCTCCTCAGCTCGCCTTGTGATTTTCTAGGCTTCAGGTGTTTGAACCTCAGTTGGCATACTTGATTGAGTCAACCTTTCACGTTCGGTAAATCGCCGAATACCACCTCGGTCCGTCGTTCGAGCATTAAATCTTTTCCTTGCATACTGTCACTTTGGACAATGTGCATCAAGACCGTTGTTCTAACTCGGCGTATCGCCTTTTCTACTGGAGTTTGCTGACCTTCTTTGGTAGACACAAGTGCTATGCACTATCAATTTGGGCGAGATCATACTTAGTTGGTGATCCGCCCTTCATGTTAGGCGATCAACAATGTTCACTTTGCACTTTTTTTTTATATTTTTATTCATTCTTTCACATATCAGTCCTTGCCTTATCTAATTGACTTCATAACTGCAAATCATCAACATTTGATTAGAAAATGACAAATTTAAGCATTAAAGACACTAATTATTAAGCTAAATAGACCTTAAATGAGTGCAAATCTACCACTTATCGACACCCCCAACTTAAACTTTTGCTTGTCCTCAAGTAAATCAACAACACAATAAACTCAATAAGGGTGTCTACAACAGTACTCAATGAGAGCTAGCATGCAAACGCCATAGCAAGATTACTCTCAATAGCATGTTACCCTAAAGCATGATAAAAAAAAACTTCAAATAATGACTAGCTAGTCTCAACACAAGCTCAATCTCACTTTAGCTTCTTGTCTAATGCAATAATATGCTTTAACAAATGCATTCAAGTGCTCTCACATCAAGAACGATTTCATACTCTCACAAAGCAAATCAGCAAAGGTAATAGGAATTAATGCAACTCTCACTCTCTCAAAGAGAAACACATGCAGGCTTTGTCCATAGGGTTGTCCATATTTTTCAATCATCACACAACCTAGTTAAATGCAAGATCTTAAGGGTCTTTTAGGCTTGTAATGGGGCTGATGGTTAAGGTATGATCAATTTGGATCAGTGACTTATACATTTTCAAAGCATTGTTGCAATCATCATCACCTTTTCTCAAGTTGTTTTTTTTTCTTCATTTGAGAACTCAAATCTTGACTTTCCACTCAATTTATTTGGAATCCCTTTTTATTTCATTCACTTCTCTTTTTCATTTTCATCTTTTTCAAGTTGTTTCCATCAAAACCTTTTGCTTCATTTCTTTTTTTTTTAAAATAAGGATGGGTTCTTTCTTTTTGCAAAACTTTCAGATTTGATTCTCATTTCTTCCTTTTTGCCTTCACTTGACTTTCTTTCATCCTTCCTTTCAACACCCCCAACTTAGGCTAAAAGCCGAAGTTTGCTATTCAAACATCACGATGTTTCAAAAGGATTTTTGGTGAGAAAGTACGGATAATTTGGCTTAAGAAGCTTTTTTTGGGTGTCAACAAATAAGTTAGGCTTAATTGGTCACAAGGTAGTCACAAAAGGCTTTGTGGACACTTTGGTTCCCTCATTGAATTTTGCCCAAGATTATGTCTTACATTCACCAAGATTCACCCAATTGGACTAACAAGGCAAATTTTAGGACTCAACATGCATGCTCTCAAAGGTGTAACCACATCGATTTCGTTCTCGCAACACCAAAACGACACATCATGCTCATCATGAGTACTGTTAAACAC